TTTTTGCTTCATCCGTAGGCCTCAGGCAGGGTTGTTAGACAGCCAGGGGAGCTGGGTGGAGCTGTTTTGTGAGGTCTCTCTTTCTTTGCTGACGTCCCAGTTGCCATGGTGCTAGGTAACTGCTAAAGGGGATGGTTTCTTTCAAAGCGGTCACCATGGGACCCTGCTGACTAAAGAAAGCAAGGAGGAAAAGGCCTGAATTGCTGAGAAGGGTTTTCAATTAGCATTTTCAGAGCCAAATTTACCTAATAGGCTCTTTCCTTACCAGACTGAGGTTGATGCTAAATTGTGAAAGGATTCTGGGAATTAGCATGGACATTGTGACGATGTACCTTCCCCCATCCTCCACTGTTTTTTCCCTTAGAAACCAATGTAGAGGCCAGCCCATGGCCTACTGGCTAAGGGAGCTGGATCCTACATGGACATCCATGGTTTGAGTTCTGGCCCTCCAGGCTTGAAAAGCACCTAGGAACATGTGCATGCGTGCCCCAAATCCCAGCAGGATGGAGAAATGGAAGAGAATGGACTGTGGAGTGACCATGCCCCCCTGGGAGGTGCTTTCTCCCTCTTTTTCTCTAATGACCATGTGTACCCTTTGGCATTTAAAAAATAAAGATGCCAGCTTCATACAATGACTGTGGACTGCCATCACACAGTGGTAAGAACCATGTGGTTCTTCTCAGGTTGGGATTCTGACTTTTGGGAAGTCATTCATCTACCTAACAGCCTTTATCAGGAGATAGGTTAGGATCACACCTAATGTTGACACTAGGTACAGTCTGTGAATGCTTAACAGTTGTATGGGTCAAAAGATACATGTTTTGGGACAACCAGATGGCATAATGGCTACATTGCTGGACTCTCATATGGCCAAGCACAGTTTGAGTCCCAGACTTGGTGGCTTAAACACACACTGGGTGCGTGTGCATGCATGCCCAAGATCTCGAGAGGAGAATGGAGGAGAAAAGATTGCAGCGTGGTCATCCCCCTGAGGGGTGATGTCTCATTTTCTTTCTCTCTGTCTCTCTGGCAAGCACATGCACCCTATAGCAAAAACCTCTCCAAAAAAAGAAAAAAGAAGAAAAGATACACGTTTTTGAATGAGTAGTTAAATTATTTTAAATAAAAATAAAATCTGATTCTTGCATATTATTTGGATCACTCAACCAGGAATTTAAGTTAGTGGTACATTTGTTTCATAATAGCTGGCATATAACCATTTTCTCCGAATCCTAACTAAGGCAGTTACAAGTATTTATTTTTTCGGAAAAGAAATTTTCTTTGTAAGAAAAGAGGTGGGAGGGCTGGATAGAGTCATAGCAATAGGATACAGCTCTGCAAGGCTGACCCACATGGGAAGTCGTGCATCTGAAGACCTCCTAGAGTATGCCAGCATGCATATGCCCATGACTAGGGCTGTCTGAAGCTAGGTGTGGATCGTGGTAGGGTCTCCTGGTGGAGGTGTTGCTTCTCTGTCCCATGGGAGAAATTAATAAATAATTATTTTTTAAAATAAGTAGAGGGACCAGCAGATGGCATAATGGTTACATCAATGGACTCCCACATGGCCAACCACAGTTCGATTTCTGGACCTGGCAACTTCGAACTCACGCTGGGCTCATGTGCATCCCCAGAATCCTGAAAGAAGGGAAGAGAAGGGATTGCAGCATGGCCATCCCCCCTGGGGGCTGATTTCTCACTTTCTGTCTCTCCAACAAGTGCACGTGCCCCATAGCAAAAATTTCTCTCTAATAAAAAGAAGAAAAGACTCAAAGGGGTACTGGAGTACAGTTTCAAGAAACCAAAGCTTCTTCCTGGCTCAACATCCAGCTTAAAATTTATTTACTGGGACCAGCAGGTGGCATGGTGGTTAAGGTGCTGGACACTCCCACATGGCTGACTACGGTTCAAGTCCCGGACCTGGTGGCTTGCTTTCTCATTTCCCTTCTTTCTGTGTCTCTCTCTGTCAAGTTAAAAATAAATGAATGAATAAATAAAATTTAATAAATAATTATTTTTTAAAAATGTATTTACTACTTTTAATTTAGGGGAAGAGGTAAGTTAATTCCAGTTTTTCTATACTGAATAAGACTAAGAAAAATCAATTTTCCCCCAATTTTACCAAAGGGCATGTACACTCAACAGACAGAAAGAAACAGAGACAGACAGAGAGAGAGAGAGAAATCAGACCCCACTGGAACTACTAAACATAATTTTACAAGGAGTCAAAATATATTATTGGGGCTGGCAGGTGGTATGGTGGTTAGAGGTGCTGGACTCCCACATGGCTGACTGCGGTTTGAGTCCCAGAGCTTGTGGTTTGCTTTTTCACTCGCTCTCTCTCTCATGTGCGCACACATGCCCTATGGCAAATTAAAAAGAATATGATAGTGATAAAATAAATTGAATACTTTTTTTATTTTTAAAAAGAGAGTTTCTTGCTCTAGGGCACATGTATTTGTTGGACAGACAGAGAGACAGAAAGTAAGAAACCACCGCCCTACCCCCAGGGGTATAGCCATGCCCCGTCTCCTCCATTCTCCTCTCGGGATCTTGGGCATGCACACACAAGCGCCCGGTGTGAGTTTAAGCCGCCAGGTCTGGGACTCGAATGGCCGGTTTGAGTGGAGGAGAAGGGATTGCGGCATGGCCATTACCCTTGGAGGGTGATTTCTCGCTTTCTGTCTTTCTGGCGAGCACACGTGCCCTATAGCAAAAAACCCTCCAAAAACTAAAATTAAATAATTATTTAAAAAGACACATTATATACAAATTCTGCTTTTAAAAATATTAAATTTGCAATCACCAAACTTCTTTTAAGAACTATTGAGGCCGAGGGGACCAGCAGGTGGCATGGTGGCTAAGACACTGGACACTCCCACATGGCTGACCACGGTTCAAGTTCCAGACCTAGTAGCTTGCTTTGTCACATTCCCTCCCTCTCTCTCTCTGGTCAAATTAAAATGGATGAATGAATAAATAAAATTAAATAAATAATTCTTAAAAAAAAAAAAAATTATTGAGGCTGGCAGCTGGCCTGGATATTAAAGGCACTGGACTCCCCCATGGCTGACCATGGTTTGAGTCCCAGACCTGGCAGCTTGTTTTCTCACTCTCACTTTTTCTCTCTCTGGCTCTCTCTGGTCAAATTTAAAATAATAACAACCAATGGAATTAAAAAAATAAATATTTTTAAAGATGTATTTATTATTTTTATTTTAAAGAATCATGTTATTTTTAACTTCATTTTAAAAATTTATTTATTTATTTTAATTTGACCAGAGTTGGACATAGAATGAGAGAGAGTGAGAAAGTGAGAAAGCAAACCACCAGGTCTGGGACTTGAACAGCAGTTGGTCACATGGGAGTCCAGTGCCCTTAGCCACCATGCCACTTGCTGGCGTCTATTATTATTTTCTTTTTTCATCTCACCAGAAAGAGAGTGAGTGAGAGACAGAAAGTGAGAAAGCAAGCTGCCAGATCTGGGATATGAACCACAGTCGACCAGGTGGGAATCCAGCTTCCCAACCCCCACACCACCTGCTGGCCCCCAAACTTATTCTTGACCATTGTAAGATGGCTATTAGTTGTTTCCCATCCAAATTCATAAAACCCTACAAAACCTATGTACCTGGGGTTAATTTTTTAAAAAATTATTTTTTCATTCATTTTTTTAAAACTTCATTTATTTATTTAATTTGATCAGAGAGTAGCAGAGAGAGAGAGAGAGAGAGAGAGAGAGAGAGAGAGGAAATGTGAGAAAGCAAGTCACCAGGTCTGGGATTCAAACTGCGGTTAGTCATGAACTGTGTGAGTCCAGTGCCTTTAACCACCACACCACCTGTCGGCCCCTCATTTATTTTAATTTGACTAGAAAGAGACATAAAGAGGGAGAGGGAAAGTGAAAAAGCAAGCCACTAGGTCCAGGACTCTAACTGTGATTGGCTATGTGGGATTGTCTAGCACTTTAACCACCACTCCACCTGGTGGCCCCCCAGGGGGTAATATTTTTAAAATTATTTATGAGATATTTTTCCTCTGCTGAAGGAACCTATTTGCCCTGTAGATAAGTAACGTGGCACTGCACAGAAGTTATACAACAAACTGAAAAAGAGAAATTAATATTTGGCTTCTGAAATTCAGAATAAGAAACCTAAAAGGACAATGCGCTTGAAATCCAGGTTGTAATTTGGAAAGCCAGTCTCTAAATTCCTTCGTTCCTGTCCTTAGTGGTCATCAACCAAACCTAGAACACTTTGCTCAGGGTGCTCTGCACTGCAGAGCTGTATCTGCATGCAAAAACTCTGAAGGAGCATGCAGACAATCTTTGGGGATCTAATTTCCAGATCCTCGACCTCCACAAGCAAGCTGTTTGAAAGTGTTCTTCCTGAAAACTGTTGCAGTCAACATGTCGCACTGGCTCCTGGTTCCACCCAGTTGCTTTTCTCCCATGTACCACAGAGTGGCGAATCTCTCACTCACTTCTACCTCAGATCCTGCAAGGGTATTCTGACTGAATTTAAAAACTTCTGGTAGGGGGGAAGGCTGGCATAGAGTGGTGGTTGGGGAGCACTGGCCA